GGGACACATGTTGAGGTAACACTCGGCCTTTGGGCTCGTGTTTGTACTGTGATCCTTGTTCTTCTAAATTTTCGTGTCTAAAGATTTTATAACTGTATTATTGAGTTTCATAAACATAAGGCCATTTCATTAATCTTTATGAAAACGGCCAACAACTAGCATGAACCTGTTTTTGTCGTAGTTTCCAAATTATTATGTTATTATATTGTTTTTATCCGTAAATGCTATTTTCCGGTTCACCAACCATGAAACTTTGCAGTTAGTAATTTTACATGTCATATGTCTAGGCTTTTATATGTCATATGTTGTTGTTGTTGTTGTTGTTGTTGTTGTAATTGTTGTTGTTGTTGTCGCCACCAACATGAGAAAGCTTTCTATTTCATTTTCCAAGGTGCCCACCATCAGGCAATGGGCCAAGGTTTGTGTTTCTGTATTTGGATATCTCATGAGTGACAGAAGTAATGAAAACAATCATATGGTCTCACTGGCTGCAAACCTGGACCTCGACATGAAGTTTTCTGATGCGTGAGTTTTTTACTCCTTTTTATTTTGCAGAGAATAATAACCCAGGAATGTTCCCGTTTACATTTAGGTTCAATTCCTGCAATACAACTGTTGGCTGATTATAGACCACTTTCATAATACAGATGGGTTTAAATATTCTTTTATGTATGTATTAATAAACCTTCTTGTCCTTGTTTCAGGTTCAAAAATTCTATTTACTTTCAGTCACAAAAACGAAGAATAATATTTAAACCCATCTGTATTAAATGGTCTACATTTCATCTCGGTTACATGTGAGAGGAGTTCTTGCGGATTGATTCTCTTGAACACCGCAATTATTTTTTCCCTGTAACTTTCCCTTTAGGCGTTGCCGTAAAGTTCTTCCAGTTGCCAGCAGTGCATATCTCGATAATCTGCCGTCTCATTATCCGGAAAGCGTGCATATTAATCAGGTATAGTCAAACCTCAGCTGACCATGTTGCAGACACAAACCGACACTTGTTGCAATAGCTTATCTATTAAACTTCTTTCAAGATTTGTGATGTTCACCTATAGTTGTTTTATTTTAGTTGAACCAAGCCCTTCGCGTGTTCGCGATGAATGCCCGAGGTCCTGCATATGAGAAATACGTCCTGCAGCTGCAAGATGATTGTAATAAGGTCAGCAGCGTTTTGATTATATTTGTCAAGCTTGTTGTAAATGAGGATTGGATATCTGCATGACCTTGAATGTATATATATATAGTATTTCTAAATGGCTAAATGAGTTATGTGCTGGTACATTAAAACGGACATTCTTTCCTTCTTTCGTTATTTCTTGTACCATCTATTTTTCTTGTTCCTCAGATGTGGATAAATGGCAGACAGTTATGTGAAGTGCGCAGCCTTAAAGGGCGACATTGTATCTATCCGGTAAGCGCTTATATTTTTCATTAGATAAGTATACAATTTTATGACGTTGTTACTTTTAACAAATTGGTACAAGTAATGTTCTAGGTTATTAATTTCGGGTAACATCTTCAATTATTATTCACCATAAAGCCCCGTTTACACTACGCTCGATTTTTGGTACCGTACCACTTTTTTGGCTCTTGGACTAGCTATTTAGGTAGTCCAAGAACCAAAAAAGTGGTACGGGTACCAATTTTATCCGTGCCGTACCAAAAATTGGGCGTAGTGTAAACGGGGCTTAAAACAACCTTCTTTTCATTACTAAAATATCTTTACTCTGTTTTTTTAAATTATAGTTTCATACAGTTCCAGGACAGCAGATTGCGGACAGTCTTCCGATAGACAAGAGCACTATATCATGTAAACCTCACTCGAGCCGTATCACCAGCACCTGTGCATGTAACTGCGGACGAACACAAGCACAACGCGAAGACCCGTTTGATTTAAAGGTGCTGATTGTCTAAGTTTTCTTAATAATCGACATTTCTTTCTTGTCTTTGCTCTTTCAACGTACTTATATTTATAACAGACACTCGCGAACGATATGTATTTATAAATATAAGTACGTTGAAAGAGTAAAGACAAAGAAATGTCGATTATTAAGAAATTTTGTTCGAACTCTTTCCTGGCTTCGATGAATGAACTTTCAAGACGATGATTGTCTAAGGCGTTGCTGATTTCCTTTTATTTTCTGTTTTCTTCTAAAGAAGTGAAAGTGCTGGCGACACAGCGATTAGTGCATATTTCTTTCTTCTGTGTGCCTTTGTGCCTCAATTTCTTGCATTATACAGTTGTCTGATTATAATTTTACCTCAGTTGTATGTGAGAAGAGTGCTTCCAGTAACTTGAATCTCCCAGACACTCTTCCAGTAACTTGAATCACCCAGACACTCTTCCAGTTTGAATCTCCCAGACACTCTTCCAGTAACTTGAATCACCCAGACACTCTTCCAGTTTGAATCTCCCAGACACTCTTTCAGTAACTTGAATCTCCCAGAAACTCTTCCAGTAACTTGAATCTCCCAGACACTCTTCCAGTAACTTGAATCTCCCAGACACTCTTCCAGTTTGAATCTCCCAGACACTCTTCCAGTAACTTGAATCTCCCAGACACTCTTCCAGTTTGAATCTCCCAGACACTCTTCCACAAGAATCTCCCAGACACTCCTCCAGTAACTTGAATCTCCCAGACACTCTTCCAGTTTGAATCTCCCAGACACTCTTCCACAAGAATCTCCCAGACACTCTTCCAGTAACTTGATCACCCAGACACTCTTCCAGTAACTTGAATCTCCCAGACACTCTTCCAGTTTGAATCTCCCAGACACTCTTCCACAAGAATCTCCCAGACACTCCTCCAGTAACTTGAATCTCCCAGACACTCTTCCAGTTTGAATCTCCCAGACACTCTTCCAGTTTGAATCTCCCAGACACTCTTCCAGTAACTTGAATCTCCCAGACACTCTTCCAGTAACTTAAATCTTCCAGACACTCTTCCAGTTTGAATCTTCCAGACACTGCCTGCTTATATAAACTCCAATCTCTTTTAATAAGGAACAGCCTTACTGGACATGTAGGAACAGTCTAGAACTGATAGAGCTATCCGGTATACATAAATTCGGTTTAGTTTAATTGTGATCACTTATTTACTATAAACTCAAAATTTTTCTTCCATAGGCAGCAAATTATGATTTCTATCAAACTATGGAAGAAAAATGCTGCTCAACGTTGGTTCATCTCTCCTTTCCCTGCTATCCATTTACTCTTCACGAGAAAACAGCTTCAACTGATGCAAATGATGTCCTTCCAGTACCCCCCGTACCTGTCCCGGAAACCGAGATAGAATCCGTACAGGGGGAAGCAAGTTTTCCCACAGCGCCAGTTCGACTAAACAAGGATGCGAAAGAGTTTGTATCGAATCTCGTTAAAACAACAACTCCCACTAATGTCACAGACATCGCTAGTGTTACGAATCCCGAGAGTTCCACGACCCCTGCGAGTATCACGACTCCTGCGAGTATCACAGATCCCGCGAGTGTCCCAAATGCCTCCAATCCCGCGAGTGTCGCAAATTCCTCCAATCCCGCGAATGTCCCAAATGCCTCCAATCCCGCGAGTGTCCCGAATCCCGCTAGTTCACTGCTAAGTGAAGGATTCCACTCCATGTCCGAATTGGAGTCAAACTATCAGAAAAGTGCCACGTCTTTTGTTTTCCATGGCAACAGCTCTGCCGGGGAGACTGAACATTTGAGTGGTGACACGTATCAGGGGGAAGAGGACGAAATAAGACAAAGCTCTGCCAAGAAGACCGCTGATTACTTGGAGTGCATGCTCAGTAGTGAACCCACTGGTGGTCGACTACCTTTATTCTGTAGCTGGTCCCTCTGTCGCCTTGGAAACGCGAACACGTATCAAGTCTCGAAGGGATTAGATCAGAAGGGATTTTTTCCCGGTAGTAACTTTCTCCTGCCGTGGGATATACCATTACTGAACGAAAACCAGGCTGGTTTGAGTAGCTATATTGACGGACATGTCAAACACCCGGGGGTTAAAACTGCCGGTGTTGAAGCGTGGCCTGCACCGAATGAGCTGCCAAACGCTAACAGTAATACAGCGCTACCTCTTTACCAGACTCTTGTCTATGCTTCGCGCCAATGTACTGATTATAAAGTCAATCCGCTGCCCATCTGTGCTGCCCCAACTGGGGGCTCAAAAGGAAATGCTGCTAGAAACCAGCGAAGACAATATCCGACCGTGAGAACATATATTGGGAATGAGTACGAGTGCGCTCGTGGCCATAGGTATGTAAAAAAATCATTTAACATATCCGGCAGCTTCGGCTGTGAAAAACAAGTTGATAAAGATGAGGTTTTTTACTCAGTAGATAAGTTGTAATTGGTCTTAGAACGACCCAAATATTACACATACCAAAATACTATTTAGGGTTGGCTGTGATTTTTGAGACTTTAATATTAAAACTCACCAAAAGTGCTGCCATTGTCTTCCTTGCCTGAGATTAAACGTTTAGCGACTTCGCATATTGTTATTGTATGAAAAGTTTTAATTTCATCGCATGTAATGTTTTCACAACACCATAATTTAATTTCTACTTGTTTTTCTGCTTTCCAGGTTCATCTGTTCGGCAGATGATAAGATGGTAAAAGCGAATAATTCTGGTGTGGTTAAAGAAACTGCCGTTCGTTTGGTCGACTCCGACATGCCTTTGTACTTCCCTTGTCCCTGTCGTACGAGTAAACCCTTTCTCGCTCAGCTGACCCGATTGTTCGTCGTCACTCCCGAGTCACCTATATTGATCACCCTTAACCCGCGTGTCCAACCGGCACCTGTACCTTGTCCCGTCTTTTATCCGGGCATCAAATCAGGCATTACCCTCCCGCCCGCGAGTCTGTGCGTTTTGCGTTTGCCTTTCGTGTATGTCGGACTGGAAGGCCCCATTTCGCATCCGGCAGAAAATCAGCCGTTGATGAATTCGCGTCTGCTACGGGGGACATATGGCGTAATGGCGACCGAGCGACTGTTTGAGGATAAAGAAGCCTGGAGTTGAGAAGACACTTCGCGTAGAGACATGCTTGGACCGCCATGTTTTTTCACCTTCGCCCTGCACCCTTACCTCAACATCACTCTCTTCCCATTAGGTTTTGAACAGGAGGATGAAAAGACCGACAAACTACCATATTTACTCGTTTAGTGTTTCGGCGCTTGTTTGGGGGCGGCGCTATTTAAAAATAGTTTTATTTACATCTTGCGTTTTTGGAATGGAACAGTGTTTTTCAAAACTCTGGTGAGAAAATTAAATGAGAGAGTATTGAATCGTTGCTCGCATTTCTCTCGTGCCCGCTAATACTAAAATATACTTAAACTTTGAACTTATATAAAGACTGTAATACAAGAGCTAAAATCTTGGACATAACCCTTGAGACCATTCCAGCCAATATTGCAAAGTTAATGCACATTGACAAAACAAACTTCGTCACGCCCTCTCGCCCGGTTCCATGTTGTAAAGAACGCCGAAACAATTTTAGGTGTAATTTACCATGACACAAGCTCAACATTGAGTTGGGGGAACGGGGGCTTAAGGAGCGGACCATCATTTAACATGGAATTTATCATAAGGGGTATGTGAATTTTGTGTAGAGGGAAAGGCAGTTTCAACCAGTTATAGGCTATGTCCAAAATTGTAGACTGAAGATTGAGATGTACAGTACTTGTTCTCGAACAATCCCATGTGATGGTGCTTCGATTAAGTGCTGCGTTGTTTGCAGCGCTTGTTTGAGGGGGACTGTCTTTAATGTTTATGTCACATCCGGTGCTTAATCGAGGGCCGCGCGTAAACGGAGACGGCGCTTAAACGAGTAAATACAGTAATCCATTGAAACTAACTAGTGATTGTTGAGAAAAATGTTGAGTTTTACCTAATGAACATATTTACTCTTATACTGCTAAAAAAGTTGAACACTCATGTTTTAATTATTTAATTAAAGCAAATTTCGTCTTTCAAAATTGCTGTAATATATGGTGCAGACAATAATTCAAAGCATTTTTATACTGCACTTCAATATAAATCAGGCGTCTTTTCCAGAAAAAAGAACTTGCATACATTGAATATTCTATATGCATGCCTACTTAGTTACCTAGTTACGTTTATGTCATCGTGCAGTATACGCGTTGAACGCTATATATAGGTCTGATATCTGAAAGCTCTTTAATTTAATAAAAATAATTCGGTCAGAGAACGTCTCAATCTCAATGAATCTGTCAAAGAGGTTTACATCGCACAGTAAATTATCACGTGTGTGTGCCTGTCAGTACGATGACGTAAAAACTATCAAACGTATTAATAAGAAAATTTGTGGCATTAAAATGGACATTGCCCGACGACAAACAACGATTAAATTGTGATTAAAGCTGGAGTTACACGAGCAACAACTTGCAACAAAATCTGATTTCAACGCATGTTAATTGAAAATGTTTACACGTGAATTACAAATCACAAGGTAACATGTGTCGACTTTTCTACTTAACATGCGTTGAAATCAGATTTTGTCGCAAGTTGCAGCAATTTTGTTGCTTGTGTAACTCCACCTTAAATGTGGATGGAAATTGAGAAATTAAAAAGAGTTTGCCTTGCTTTGTCGGGTCGAGTAAACTGAATACGTAATTAGCCCGTTGTACAATTGGTGCATGATACATGACTTATAATACACCGTAATACATTTTGGGCGTATTACTCGATAGAACTAATTGTCGAATTGAAGGGCGTTGTAGATGGAAAAGGAGTCGAGAGACCACGGGCGGGATTTACTGAGGCACAAGTGCATAAGCACTAGAGGTGTGCACATCCGAATCCGATTGATAAAGTTGTTTCGTAGTCGGATCGGACTTCGATATTCGAAATAAAATGAATTAATTATTCAGAATCATTTACTGAATCATGCACTTTGTCAGCTACTTTACATGTATTTCTTGCTTTTATATTTATTTGGTTAAATATTTCCACTTGAATGAGAAATTTATTTTATTAAAGGATTCTTCGGATCGGAATTCTTTATCAAAAACTCAGATCGGATTCGGATTAGACAATTTCGGATCGGATTTTCAACATTAACCAATTGTCGGATTATAAACGTCCGATCCAATGCACACCTCTAATAAGCACTGTTCACAAGGTTATAGGCGCGGCAGGGAATCCAATCCGGGATTAGTCGTCGTTCGAGAGCGAGCATGGATTTAATTACTGGAGTTGGGTCGAGTTTAGGCGATTACGGACTTTTTCAAGCGACCCAACCCCAGTAAACTCGCATTATCTCGTGGCGAGTTACCACCCCCCGGGTGCGCCTAAGGGATTCCAACCCCCTCAGAGTCTAAACTACCCTGGGTTCAGAGGTTTTCTGGTGTGGTGTCAGAGTTTTAGGAGGCGACGAGTTCCAATTTGGCCGGCACCGCTTGAGTGCAGGCTACAGCTTCAGCAAAACAGGAAACCCCCTGATCCAGGGTAAGTCTAAACTAAACTCAATTAAATTAAACTAGAATTGAAGCAACTTTAAACTTCGCCTTTGGCATGTGATTAATGTATCCTGCTTTAAAACGTTTGCCACAGAAATTGCCTTTGGCACGTGATTAATGTATCCTGCCAAATATTTGTAATGACCAATGGCTCTAGTGGTTGCAGAGTGCAGACAATATATATATCATTATACTATTACACTATATACATATTCATGTATCCTTGACGACGAAAAGAAATAAGAAAAAAATTCTTTCAACTTTTAAGAGAAAGGTTCTGTCCCCTCTCATATAAGTCGACAGACACTCACACAAGTGGTGTTTACCTTCAACGAAGAAACGCGTTAAACGAAAGTACGTTAGTACCATAATCCATATCATGGCTAGTTCGTTCTTTTTTCAATTTTTCTACTTTGGTCGAAGGACTGGGAAAGTCGGTGAGTGAGTCATTAACGTAATTTAGATGTAGTTTAAGATCATTGTGGTTATACCAATATAGATACATATGCTGTAGGGGTTTTTTTTATAACTATGTATAAAAGATTAAACTGATATATTAGAGGAATAGAACGTAAAAGTATATGAATATTTGGATTGTTCATTGTCTTTTCTCTGGCATGGCCAAGTTTCCTCAGCTTTTTATTCCCTGCCCCTGGTGTTTTATACAAAGCGCATTCTTTATTGTTTGGGAAACTGATTACTATTTGAAGCACATCATATGATACAAAACTTGGTTAATGTAAAGATTTCATCATCACTGATATAAAGTGAGATCCAAAACACGCAGTTGTTAATTTCTATTCGTTTCTATAACATATAAACAATGCTAACCACGCTATTAACTCGTCAGCGGAAAAGTCAACTATGGGAGACGGGAAGTAGGACAGAAGACGCGCGGGGCTTGGCAAACAAGAAAGCCTCCCACCCACGGTCTTGTATAAAAGATGACGATGGACAATGTATAATTGGTGGCAGCGGTGAAGTTGAATAATGTATAAGTAACCAAGTGACTTTACTTGGAAATAGGAGACTTAGAAATAGGAGAATTCTCGAATGGAAACGATGTAGTGAAACGACTTTCTAGTATAACTATAGGGCGCCAGTTTGGCTTTTGGAAATCAGCCTAGGTTGACAATGGTTAGCGTGTTTAAATAAAAAGTTCCATCTATCTATCTATCTATCTATTTTGATCCGTACACACAACTTTCAAATATTAAAGACTGCTTTGTCGTTAGTGTCGTTTACGCTTTTTTATTTGTAGGCGGCACGACCGACAGTTTAGATCCTTTAAAGTTATATAATCAGCAATAATTATATTACTTCGAACAATGGACACTAAATCGGATAAATAGCATGTGACAATGCTGTCTTTTTTATGTAGTTCAGTAGTTGTTCCAGAAGTGTCTATTTAGTTCCTGCAGTCACGCGGGAATATGACGTCAAGCTATATATAGCCAAGTCTAAGAAATCCGCAATTTTGGGTGGTAAAAAAATGGTGGGCACTACGGGCACTAGGAAACCACTTGATCAAGTTAATGACAACGATCATTCTAGTAGCTCTATCGAAAAATTTAACCAGCTTTAAAGATTTGCCACCGAAAAAGAAATAATGTGAACATCAAACAATTACGCAACATGAATGTGTTGTGTAACTTGTGAACAGAATGAAATGGATTTAGGCTTCTTCTCTATCATCTATATAGTGATAATACCAGTGACTGACTCGAAGATATTCTGTGGACTGTAATTTTCCGGCTTGCGTGTGTGACGTAGTATGGAAATAAAAAGAAACCGTTTTCAGAGTCAGTTGCATCATACACATGCGGAAGCACGCAAACTGTATTCTATAGTATTCTTTGCTACCTATATTCATTGGTACCCACTGACAGGTTGTATAAAACTCTTCATTACTTTTTAACCACTACTGATTTTGTATATAAAATGTGCGATGCTGATTCTTGACTGCAGTTGACTTTTCATGCATACAACCGGCCTCGCCAGGATGGCGCGCAGGGTTACAATCCGTAGGCGTATAATCCTGACCTTCATACAAAATCCGTGCAATTTAATTTCTTCTCCAAGCAATGACACGGCAAGTTCCTTGTTCGATTTCTCGCATGTCTGATATGGAGCAGTGGGGGGGGGGGGGGGGCTGGGTTAAAAAATGTTTCAAGTTCGTGGTAACCTTCCACACATTGATTGACAAAACGTAAGATTTCTAAACTTTTTTGCTTCCATACACAAGCGATATGATGCGAAATACAATACAATACAATACAATGCAATACAATACAATACAATACAATACAATACAATTTAATACAATACAATACAATACAATACAATACAATACAATAAACTTTATTTGAATTCGAATTTTAGATAGCTATACAATAAGCTAATATCTTCGAATATATAGAATATATATATATATATATATATATATATATATATATATATATATATATATATATATATACTAAATAATAAATAAACTAACCGTCCAAAGTTTATGTCAGCTATTGACATTATAAAGTTGTGCAGAGTATCTTGAACCCTGCAACTTTCTGGCTAACCATTCCATCGTTTAACTACTTCATATCGAAAAGAATGAAGTCCATCGGCGGCTTTGTAGTTGTTATACCAATAATTTGTTATACCAATTTTTCAGGTGTCATCGGTGTTGCCAAAACGTCCCTTGCTTATTAAAGCTCGCTCTTATTCGTACTTGTATATAATTTTAAATATGATATTTGGTGAACCGGTAATTGCTGCCTACGCTATACCACGTTGAGTTCCCAGACTTTTATGTATGCCGCAAGGCTCTATTATCACGTATTGTTGAATATATAATATATATTATATTTTATAAAATATAAGTATATATAGTATAGCTGCCATTACCTCAAAATAATCACTTCCACGCGTTGCATCCACTGATCCGAAAATATAGAACCGGGTTGCATCCTCAACGTCCCCATATCACTGTTCATTTTAAAACTTTGAGAGTGACGAGCCCTTTCCAGGGTTTTGTGCCACTTCTCATTGGAGGGTTCAAAACCCGGTCGATCTGTCTATTGTCTCAAATTTACCACTTCCTTCAAACATCGATGTGTTGGTGTTATTTGTCAAATTACGAGTGGAATACTTGGCAACAATAGTCTCCTCAAACAAAGCTGGTTGAATCAAGATTGGATACTCTCAGATTTTTATAGGCTATAAACACCGAAACGTGTCGATTCGGCATTGAGGATCGTTGAAGGTAGGATTTTGTATAGAACTTTGAATATCGCTTTCCATTTAATTAAACAGTCCAGTCGACATCAATTCACGCAATCGAAAGCTTTATATATGTTGGTGAAGAAATAGTTTTTCAGTGTAAGCATAATCGTGCTTCGTGTTCGTCTATTTTAATAATACCCAAACACCGAAACGAATCAAGTGGCAACGACAGGCGCAAAGTGTGATACAAGGTTAAATATATTCGACCATGTAAGAACTTTATTCGATTTTAAACCTCGAATAATATGTTATTATCTTGCTGTCATAGACCATCTAAGGCCCACAAAAGGAAATCATATACAGTCGTCTTTGTGGGCTAAGGGTGAAGCTTCAAGTTTTGATATATTTCCGTTTTGATGGATTGATATTATGCTGTGTTTACATTTTGCTTTCGCCTGTTGAGTTTAACAACTTGAAACGAAATTTGAATTTATAAATAATCTAATAGCTCAGGCTCGGCTTAAGTGATTGCTCTTTTATTACGACTGCACGTTTTAATATATTCACGTCTGTAAGATTTTTACTTGAACGTATTCTGTAATTGCCAAATGTTTAAGTTTGAGATGTTTTGCCTTTTGGTATCTGGATTAGGACGAGGGGGCGAAAAATTTTTTGCGGCCGCAAAAATCTTGCGTAATATGTATTTTTTATGCATACAAGTGCATTCTTCTGGCAAAATTCTTGCCAAGTCTGTGCTAGTGATCATTCCTCAAGGAGTTAATTTTATAAGAGTCCGCATTTTGCAGCATGTAGCAATAACGTGAGTAATTGAATCGTAATTGAAACATATATAGGCGCGCGCAGGGCTTGAGGAAGTAGGTGGCTGTCCTCAATACAGGAATATTTTTACTAATGTATTTAGAATTTTTGTACTTTTTTTTGCTTGATCAATTATTTGCTGGACAAGCTAAGCTTAGCTACAGACATATAGTTTAAATTATTGTTGAATATCTGGTTACAAATCTTTAAACATATAATATCGAATTAATTTGATCAAGTTGATTGATTTCATGATCAAGCTTCCCACAAAATTCTCAGATTTTCTCCCTGTGTCAAACTTGCACTTGATGATGTGAGACACAAACCAAAGCACCTGGTACGAGGCAGCACAGACATTATATATCTTGTAAATTTATATAACAAGAATTAATTCTTACAATTTATATATTTTAAGAGAGCAGCATATTTTGTAAATGTACAGCAGGTTATTACATAATTTTCTTATGCAGGGATGTTGGAACGACACTTTTTAATGGAATTTCGATTTCCTTTCCCCTCCCACCTGCCCCCCCCCCAAAAAAAAACTCCACCACAATTAGGGATTTCATAATTAATTCCACCCCGGCTATGAGAAAAGTGATATACATTTTCACCTAAACCATATTTTGATTTACAATTCTGGGAACATGCAGCCTTGCAGCAAACATACAGTATAATGTTTAAAACATATCAAATATATCCCTGAAATCAAACAGTTGTCCTTTTTGCCCAGTGATGCCCCCCCCCCCCTGGTGTCTGTGTGGTTATGTATACCTTGCAATTGGATAGTTTAAGTGTCTCCTTCATAACAAATGCTGTGCAAGGAAAAAATGAACTTTCTATTTAAAACTGTAATGAAAATGATTGCCAAGAAAACTCCACTCCACTGTTTGCCATTGCGAAAAGTGAAGCTTGTTACAGCCTAATTCGTACATTAGGGAGTTAACTAGCAACCATTATATACTCGTAATGCACATCTTGAAAAGTGTGATTGCAATAAAATTTTGATCCTGTTTTCGCGAAAATTATCTTATTATCCTATTAGTATAATTACATAGGTGATTATTGAAAATTCTCCACGCTGATTGGTTGCCGTTGAGGTGATTATTACGCGATAATCACCTAAGCGATTTTCAAAATGGCGGTCGAAGCCGTTTTGTCAATTAAATGACGAAGAAATGTGCATTTTAAAATCTGTTTCCAAATAATCACCTATGAAATTATACTAAAACAATTATTCACCTCAGGCTCGGTGATTATCGTGAATAAAAACCTCGACTTCGTCTCGGTTTTTATTCACCGATAATCACCTCGCCTTCGGCGAATAATTGTTAATTAACTAAGTATTGTCTTACGGTAAAAACATCACGTATTATATTTCACATTTGCAAATACATCAGCCTCTGTATTTGCTTGCTGAAAGGTAGGGAGAAATTCTTAGGCGTAATTGTGACAAGTCTAGTAACCTATCGTCACGTACAACAACAAAAAATGGGGAAGTATAAATACAGCGGTTATAAGATTTAATAATGAATAGCAATATTAATATCTCCGAAAAAAGTAATGTTAAATTGTATTTCCACGAATATCTCGTTCGCTGTTCTTGTTAAATGTAGTATAGATTATTACTTCATCAATCATGGTTGGTGAGTGCGTACGATATGATATATTTAATATTTATTTAGGGTCACGTCCATATTCATGTTGCCACAAATACAAATAACGTCCAATCGACGTTATTTAAATTAATACTCACCCATCAGGCATCACCCACCCACCCACTCCAGTTAACGGCGTCGGACGATAATTACGATATTCAGTCGTATTTTGACTTTCGTATTTATATATATACCAAAGCTGTACTGTGATAGTTACTTTGGACATTAATTGTCAAATTGCCACGAGATAACGTCTACAAGTTCACATAAAAACCCAACCACCCACGCACCCACTCATAACGTCGATCGACGTTATTTGTAACTCTTACCGCTTATTTCTTCATTTTTTGCTAGAATTCGAATCGAAGATGTTTATGTGAACTAATTTCTGTCTTGGCTGTTTTCCTGATGATAATATAGTCGCTTTATAAGCGAAGAATGCAATAAAAACTCTCACTTCGGCGACGTCGCTAAAACCGGGCGCCATGTTTACAATTATGAGCGGGAAACACTAGCCAATCAAAACGCTGCGACAATAATCCACCACAAGCGCAAAAGAAGAAATATTTTCGCGACAACGAACCGTTGTTCTCAGCGGGAGTGTCAGAATAATATAAAACTAGTTGTTCATACATATCTCTGGGGATAGTTCTGAAGTACAACAAACCTACACTTAAACCTTAAAACTAACAACTTATAAATATAAAACCATTGAACAAACAACTTATAAATATATCATTATTATTTCTACCCACAATTGAACAATGCATATTATTTTTCACTTTCAGAAATATCAAGTAACAAAAGAAAAGATAAAAATGTCATACCAAGCGTAGCTATTATGAACATGCCAGAATCAAAACCTCGTCCGCTCCCGAAGCCACGAGTGCGTCACAAATCCGTACCGGCGAGCGCGATTCAATCTACAAACGTCACTCCCATTGTATCAAGTTCTGCACCTGCTAGCAAACCACCTATTACTAAGCCTAAACCAGCTGGTTACAAACAACTCGAGTTTAATAATAAAAATTTGGTCAGTATTAAAGCTGACATCGACATAGGTGATGAATCTACTGCAAATCTAGAGAACAATGATTGTAAGGATAATGAGAATTTTGAAAGAAACAATAACGTAGCAAATTTTAAACATGGAAATGGCAAAAGTTTGATCGGAAATGGACTAAAAGATAACAAGGTGAGTTTTTTTCCGAGGCCAAAAGCGGTACAGTACTGCTCACAAATGACCTGCCAGATTTTATTCTCCGGAAACGCTTTTTTCATTGCGTTCCGTTTCATAGCTTCCAAATTGTTCTACCCGCCGAACGCGTCCGAAACGCAATTAATGAAACTGCGGAAAAGATAATAAGATGAGTTTTTTTTCCGAAGCCAAAAGCGGTACAATACTGCTCACAAATGATCTGCCAGATTTTATTCTCCGGAAACGCTTTTTTCATTGCGTTCCGTTTCCATAGCTTCCAAATTGTTCTACCCGCCGAACGCGCCCGAAACGCAAATGAAACGGCGGAAACGCCAACGTAGTTATTTTAAAAGAAGCTATTTTATGCCAATTACTGAAATAATCATATCACGGGTTGTAAGGTCGGGCCACGTCCATATTCAAGTTGCCATGCAAACGTGAATATGACGCTTGACATTCTCAAGTCTGGGTGCGTGGTTTAGCTTGATAAAAGCGTCAATTTGCCTTTGAGCCAGTGGCAGGGTAAGATGAATTAAAACAACTGTTTTTATTCCGGTGAAATCAAATTGTCCTAATGCCCGTTTTTCTTATAAACCTTGTTCACACGTAACATAAGCAAGAAAAAAAAGCTTAACGCGGCTGAACAAAGAGATGCAGCGAAGCGCAGGGACGAATTTAATTCGTCCCTTAAAAATTGTTGATACAAGATTGCTTAACGGAGAACATGAATCCTCTGTGCTGGATAGTATTCAATAAACCATCTTATGTTGTAAAACACCGTTTCCTCAATAGTCATTTAACAATTTTGACATCACAGGGGCCATGAAACCAGAACCTTTCGGGGGCCCTTTTAGAATCAGCCCTCACCCACCCACACACACCCTCTCGCTACCGTTTCTTGTGTTACTGACTTGCTTTTTAACGTTTTGTTTTTTCATTACTCATTAGGCAAATAACGTTGCATCTTCTGGTATAAGATATTCCAAGCCTTTACCGCCTTTACCCACAGAAAGCCCAGAACCAGTACAAGACGAAAACAGCTCAATTATGGAAGTCACCTCGAAACCACCAACGGAAAATAGCAACACGTTTGATATGTCAAAATTACCCAAGAAGCCGCCAAGATTAAACACTTCAGCTTCTGACTCACAGATCTGTTCAAACGAAGATACGAAACACTCAACAGACAGAAATTCAGCGTTCGTTGAATCGAACGATGCCATGACTAACAGCAAACGAAATCCTCCTTTGCCAAGGAAACCGACATGTTTGCGAAAGTCCTCAGGTCTGGAGGAAGCTCAGATTAGTACTTTTGATATAGATTCACCCGAAATGGAAAATATTAATGGCAAAAGTAAAGAAAGTTTAGTTCAAAATCAAAGCGCAACCTCACTTGATCGTGGTCGGACTTCTAAGGAAAGAGGAAATATGCATACATTCTCTTCGGATTCTCAATTAGGAAAGTTACCTAAACCTAGTTCGTATCTGAAACCAAATAATAAAGATAATATTTCAAATGTTGGGTGTACGCCACCATTGCCACGGAAACCGGTTAGGATGCTTTCGCCGGCAGCTAATCAGCTCACAGATTCTTTGAAGAACAATGGTAGCGAGGAGAGGATGAAGAATGACGATAGCTTTAACAGGCGTAGAAATCGATCGCCACCATACGAAAAGCGAGTCTCGACTTCATTCGATATTAAAGCTGATATAAAATGTGATGAAAAGAAGGTGTCCAGTTTACCTGGTGAATCAGACTTCGGTAATGAAGAAAATAAACGAATACCTAACACAACACACAGATATAATGAAAATAAACAAATAACAACCGCTAAGCAAGTTAACGAACCTGCTAGTGTGGGAAGGTCAGGGTCAAACAAAAGGAACCCCCCACCTGATCGCCCACCTCCCCCAGGTCCTCCCCGAAGGCCACCCCCCGGGTTACCCAAACGGCCATCGAAACGAAAGTCTGAACCTCCACCTTTACCAGATACCCCAAGGCCTGTGTCTATAGCACGAGAAAATGCAGTCAAGATAAAACCTTTTCGAAGGTCGCAGTCTGTAGGAGATCTCCAAGATGATGACGGTACGTTGTTACGATTATTAGGTAGAAAATAATGTGTTATCATTACACCTACACCTGGTAATTTAATATGATTGTGTGTAGATACACCCTGTGTTAATGATTCGTTAAATAGGATAACACTCATCGCACGATAGTTGATAGTACCATCCAGTTCCGACTCAGTGATCGGAATGTTCCATTGTCTTTTAAAAATCCTGCTGTTCTTCATGACGTTGTTTTGACATGTCTGTGATCGTGACATTAGGTAAAGGCCTATTCTCCCGCTTTAGTTGGTAAATTGCCTGATAAATAAATAGATATTACATTCTTCGAATATACGTTGGTCCTTGCAGATTCTTTATACAGCGAAGCCTACGAACACGTGCGTGACTCCTTGTATGCTGTTGGTCCCACAAGAGATGGCAGTGGTGATGATGGGGAATATGAATCTCCTGACAAAAACATGGTCAAGGAATTTATGCAAGTCAGGCAACAAAAATCACAGTAAGATAATGGACAACTTGCATGTTAGACTAAAAAAAGTTTGCATGGTAACAATTATGTGTATGTATCCACCATGCTTTCTTTAATACCTTAACAGGGAGAACCTGAAGAAGAAAGAAACTAATGTGATAAGGGAAATAAAAGAAAGCAAAACAGCAACAAGTATGCAATGATTTTATTAAGTATATTGTGAAGAAGGATTATGTAGCGCAATCATCAGATCAAGCGCCTTTCACCTCCGAGATCATGGGTTCGATTCTTGGTGTGGACTCATTAGGGCCATTTATACGGGACAAAATAAGTCGCGACTTACATAAGACGCGTCTTATATAAGCGGAGTTATCGCATAAATGGTTCTCTACGGCTTTATTCTTATTTACTTGCTATAGCTATAATGTTGTTTCGGTTGTTTTTGTTTTAATATGCAAGGCTAATAATTTTACGTTGTTTCAAGTTTCGGGCATGTGTAGTTAGAATTTTTGTCTAAAATTTCTTATTTAAGACGCGGCTTAAATAAGAACAGCTAAAAGTCCTGTTCTTATGTAAGACGCGTCTTATCCAAGACGCGTCTTACATAAGAATTTTGTACCTTTTATACGACAAACTCGCGTCTTATTTAAGTCGCGTCTTATGTAAGTCGCGTCTTATTTTGTCCCGTATAAATGGCCCTATTGTGTGAAAAGAGTCTGTCAACGTCTACCAAAAGGCGTGGGTTTTCTCAGGGCACTCCGGTTTCCTCCCACTAAGAATGTTGACAGTGTGGGTTGGGATTATCCCTAACTGACCTTTCCAGCGTAGCTGTGCTCCGTGATCCGATATGAGTCAGATGATGAGACATAAGATGGCTGCCAGGGGAACCCTTAGAAATCCTTCAACCAAACCAGTTTGAGCTGCGTTCTTCGTAGTACAAATTTTATGCTCTTATGGTGCGCATTTGTTTTGACATGCTGCAAGTGTTCCGTACAGTAGATACTTCTCATTCCTTATCCAGTGATTTCTTGAAATCCGAATCCCGCCATTTTTCTTCACTTCATCCAATTTGACAGTTGCCAAAATAAACGTTGTCCTGAATTTTTATGTTGTAAAGATCTGGGGGCGGTTCTATAAAACTCTTAATCACTTTTTTAATCACTATTTTGTAGTTAAATATATTTAACTTTAATCACTTTTTTATACAACCGGCCCCTGTCTTTTAGTTCTTTGTTAATGTGTACTATTACGTTATTTTTCAGGGAAAGTGTCAACATATTCTTCAAGTTCCGACGATTCTGAACACGAGTACGTCGAGCCTATTTCACCAACACCTGAAAAGAGGATGAGTAAAGGTAATTAATCTTGCCGTACGGGCCCATATACACCATTTTGGAGTACTATCGTCTCACGTCAGAGAATCTAGACTAAACAATATGAATTGTACCATTAGTCCATTATATACACAACTACAGTTATAAAATGTCGCAATTTGTGAGGTATACACCCTCAGACGTGGGCGAGGCAGCACCTCAAGAATGGTGGAAAAGCCAAGCATGAGAAAGGAAATGGGCAAGGCGTAGGAAGTGAAGGATATGGAAAGCAAAAAATATGGACAAGCGAAGTTGAGGAAAATAAGGGATTTATTTATTTTAAGTCAAGAGAAACAAGCTATATGTAGCTGGGGTGTTACTATTTTCATTATGCATACTTTTAGCGTATTTTTCATCATCACAAGTTTTCATTTTCTTCTCTTCATCAGTGACAACATCACCAACCAATACCGTGAGTTCTGGTGGTTCTAGTAACTATGTTGAAGCGATACATCTAGAATCTGAATCGACTACGGGAAAATATGAATTCAAGGTTAGATAATCAATCGACTGAATCGAGTATTACACCATTTCTGTAACCGTGTATTCTGACTGCTAAGAAAACAGGGGGGAAATAGAAATGTGATTTTAACTGTACTGTTTATATTTTATACCTTATAGCCATTCAGTGACATAGACAGTGACTGGTCTGAAACGAAAGTCATTGATTGGGAATACGAGGGAGAAAGTGACGATTCAGGTTTGGAATCTGTATTTATTATTAAAGATGCGATACAGTCCGTCCTGCGCATGCTGACATTGGAGTCTCCATCTCCAACAGGACAGGTTCTATGTTCTCTCAAAGTATTTTCTTGATCATTTATTTCATTCTAGAAGTAGGAAAAATTGTCTGCATACAAAAATGTAGACAAAGTTGACACGTACGAACGGACTGTACCACGTCGTTCTCTTCCCCTTTATTTCTTATTTCTTATTTATTTCTTACTTTATTTATTGAAATTTACTGTCACGAAAATTGATTCCTTTACCATATTTTCAATGAATAACCTGTCTTATACTATGTTTATATATAGATGCAAGCTATGTTGAACCAGACGGTGATGACGATGATTTTGGTAAGTTTCTGTGTGTCTCTTGTACAAGAATAGTTCAGTTAATAGGTTGGACTAATAGGTTAAGTTGGAGGGACAATGGGTCGCTCGGTGTTTGGTGTATCACCCTGTCAGCTAGCATGTCAGACATGTCAGTCAATGATTATAAAATATTAATAAGTTCTTATTTCTAACATTTTCATCTTTTTCTGTTACATTTTAGACGATGAGGACGATGAAGGTATACTACTTGTTTACATACTATTGATTGGTGATACAATTATTTTTTTAAATGTTTTAACTTAAATAGAACCGGACTTCAGTAAACGTCGAGAAACAGGAGATTGTAATTAAAGCCCCATCCAATCGAGTTCAATGTCGTCCAACATTGTTAGTCCACCAACGTTGCACATGTTTGATCAATGTTTAATAGTACAAAGTCAAATCCAATCCAATATGTTGAATTACCCAACATATTTTTACAAATGATGCCAACAATGATGTTGGATCAACATGTTGACCTCGTTTCAACGCGCCTTAACTGCTTTGGCGTTGACATTCAATAGTAAAACCAAGAAAAATTCCTCTCTTGTATTTGCGAAACGAGTAGACTGTACTGTTGTACTCTTGCTTCGATATCCTCCTTTTCATGTGATTATTTTCTCACGTTCCGTGTACAATAGGAAGATACAAAACTTGAGGATATAACTTTTATATGCGCTTATTGGGCGACGATGCGGACTGAACACTCTAACTTTCATGCTTTCTAACCCTTAGCTTTCACGGAGGAACCTCTGTACCAAATCTACCAAGCAGTTGTGCTTGAAAAAGAACGAACATTGAGCTTAAAACGAGCGAGGAAGGGCACCAGCATTATTGGAAGTTCCTCGGCGACACGTGGACGAACATTTACATTGGCACTTGGTGGTACATTACGTGGAGGAAAGATGTTGTGGTCACAGTTACCTGAAGTAGGTTACACGACAACTTATCCAGATCTGCTATGACTTATTTCAATTATTTTTGCATGTTAGCTCTTTGTTTTATTGTTCAAGAAGAAAATGAACCAGAAGGGAAGATCTGTTAGTGCATTGCACATGTGTGTATGAAAATGCTTCATATTTGACCCCGTCAAACACCACAGGCTTTTTAGAGTATTCTAGTTATCTCCTGTGATAACACTGGACCACTATGCCTTTGGGATGGTCCGATGGTCCTTACTGGACCTCAAGAGAGGGGAGTTTAGAACTGATAGAGTTTTTATCTTATTTTACCAGGTTCGTAGTGCAGGCTTACTGGAAAATGTGTCTGCAGAGCAACGCAAGCTTCAGGAGGTGTGTAAAATCATAGAGATAAAAAATTACAGAACCATTCTCAGAGAAAAATGAAGACAGAATTTCCAACATGGCTTCTTGCTGCAAACGTTTACTCGAGCGGATTTAAAACTCGCACCTTCGAGACTCCAGTCCGCCACTCTACCTATTGAGCTATCGATTGGAGGCGAGTTTTATCCAATTTAAGTGCACGAAATATTTTCACGACGATTTGAACCCTACTCATTCGTGGTAATGTTTGCACCAAGACGGTGGTGAACGGCATCGGGTGCATGTTGTACATTGCCATACTATAGTTATATCGTATATGTGTATGTATATTTAAATGTTGACACTGCTTTTACTATGACACGTTTATACGTTATTATAGGCAATATTTGAAGTGATTTCATCCGAAGCATCGTATTTAAAGAGTCTCAATCTGTTGGTGGATCATTTTCTCAACTCACAGGAGTTCGCTACGGATTCACAGGATTCAATTTTGGACAAGCGTCAAATATCTGAATTGTCCTCAAACATTATGGAGATTGTTAAAGTCAGTGAAAGGTAATTCCAATCTAGAGATGATTCGTTAAAATAGATTTAATAATTTTCCTGATTTGCACAAACTTTACCCTCGATGTTCTCAGATACAATCGCTTCTTTTTGAATATAAATTTCTTAAACATACTAACCAATGTGTCACGTATTATATATTTAGATTTTTAGATGATCTACGGTCTCGTCAACGGCAATCAGTTTTGATTCAAAGTATCAGTGATATTATTACAAATCATGTGAGTTCCGACTCAGCGCACTTAAAGATTGATATGTTTTTGTACTTTTTGCACAAAAAGTTAATTACATATTTGACATTTTTTCGTTATTAGGCAACCAATTTCTTTAAAGCATATGTGACCTACTGTTCAAGTCAATACAAGCAAGACAGAGCATTAGCAAATTTAAAGTAAGAGTACATAGAATTTTTCGTGCATTGAAGCACAAGGCAAAAAGAGATGACCTACATACGAGAAAAATTTCTCTTTCTTCAGGAAAACAAACTTGAGGTTCTCCGAAGCTCTGGAAAAACTGGAACGAGATTCGCGTGTATTTGGTTTAACGTTGCAATCATTCTTAGTTCTTCCTATGCAGAGAGTGACCAGATATCCTTTGTTAGTTGACGTAAGTGCAGGGGGATACCTTCCTTTGTAATTTAATCATTATATATACATACTGTAGAAGTAGATGAAAATTTCGAGCATAATTTTATATTTTTAGACCTGCCCGGAAGCATTCTCGTTTTCAGGGCTTCTCGGTTGGCTGCGTGGAAAATGCAACCATAGGCAGAAAATGTTTCAACATTCAGTTCTATAGAGCAAGATGAGCAAAATCTTCAATATTTACTCATATACTACCTTACACTGGCATCACTTTAGTATATATTAGCTACATGCATGAACTCGACAATTGACCACTTGCGTAATAGACTAAATTTTGATCTAGACAGAAATTTCATCACAGCTTGAAAGAGCATCACAAAATTAGTATAATATTCTGAAGTTTCATTGCGAAATGTTTTAAAATGCGGATAATATATAGCCTTGCGAAGTTTGCAATTTTCAGTCATTTTAGATTACAAATGGGAAATTGACAGCCCAATACCCTTTGGGGCTGTCAATTTCCCGTTTGTAATCTAAAGTGACTGAAAATTGCAAACTTCGCAAGGCTATATTATCCGCATTTTACAACATTTCGCAACGAAACTTTGGAATATTACTAATTTTGTGATGCTCTTTCAAGCTGTGATGAAATTTTTGTCTAGACTTGTTTAGATCAAAATTTAGTCTATTACGCAAATGGTCAATCGGACTCAGGATTGCAGGTTGATTCCTGCAAAAGGGCATATGGTTGCATTTTTCGCAACTGCTCCCGGTCAGGTCTATAAATATATGTTATAGAAATTTTCCATTTATAATTTTTAGGCGATTGTACGTCGTTGTGAACCAGGACACAAGGAATACTACAAGACTGATGGCGCTTTGAAAGCTGTTAATGAGGTGAATACCGATTAGTATTACATTAATAAGAGTTAATACGATATCAAGTCATGCGAGACCATGGATAATAAAATAAATGGATATGAAACTAGCTGACGTGACCTAATGTTTTTACTGGGATTGATGGCGTGGCTGGGTGCCTCAACCTAGTTGAAAACCAAATTCTCAAAAACGGCATGTTTAGCAATAATACAGCTAAACATTTTAGTCAAAGAGCAAATAAATATAACCACGCCATTCTACGATGAAAACTCTAAGTATTCCCAGTCAATTTTAGCAAATATTTCAAGCACTAAACAGTGAAAAATACATCGCAAATTTCGTTAAAATTGGCGACGCCAATTTCGTAGCTACAAATGTAAAAAATACAAAACAAAGACGAAAAACATTTACCTTGAATACTTTGTCGTGGCTTAGGCATGTTTTTAAAACAATTAGACCAGTTTACGCTTCAAGATCACCCTTTTAAAGTGGAAAATATAGCAAAACAACAAAAATGCCGAGAACTTTGGTAACATTCGCAATACGCGTGACGTCACGTTTTTCAACAAGGATGCAGTCAATGACGTCAGAAGTTTCATATCCATTTATTTTATTATCCATGGCGAGACCAATATAATGTATACGCTACATTATTATAACGTTCGTAAGTCTATGCTAAGATTACAAGCTCTGGTCGGTAGGAATGGAATTGGTAGCTGTTCGAGATGCATCAGCCGCATCAGCATAAACAATTGGGATATATTCTGATTGAAAATTAAATCTATTTCAATTTTAATGTAGATTGTACATAAATGCAACGAAGGAGCAAGGAAAGAAGAGAGAAAAGAGGAAATGATACAGATTGAAAAGATTATTGCATTTATGAAAATGAATGTAAGTTTTTATAGTTTCCAGACAGTGTCTGCATACATACGTATAGGCAATTCCAGCTTTTAGTTTATGCGTACAGGGGGTGATGGGAAGTAAGGTATCATATTGCTGATTATGCTGAAAAAATAAAAATGGTGGCCGTGTAAACACAGAGTGATAGCTTATACTTGTTACTATTGAAATATTTCGGTTGTTTCGGCAGTTTTTATTGAACATTTTCAGCATAATCAGCGATATGATACCTTACTTCCCATCACCCCCTGCACGCATAAACTAAAAGCTGGAATTGCCTATTCAGACAGACAGAAGTGACAAACGTGGAGGTAAAAAACATAACCTCCTTACAGAGGTAACAAAACGATCTATTCTTTTCTATTCAATATATAGTATTATAACATAGCATTTGTAAATTCTGAACGCTGATTGGCTAAGAGCGGTGTTGATATAACTCAATGTCAACACGGAAACGTCGGAAAATTTCTTTCTTTATGTTTCTTTGTGCTATATTATAAAACAAATATAAAACATTTTTTCCCTATTGATATATAGTTATATCAACACTCGTGAAAATTGGGAAAACCACACAATTTCTCGTTTTCCCAATTTCCACTCGTGTTGATATAATTGTATATCAACACGGAAATTGTTTTATATTTGTTAAATATTGATTACATATTTGAACATTTCTTTAGCCAATCAAGTTAGTCACAGATGACCGTTGGCTGTTACGCCGTGGTCCCATTCAACTTCTTGAGGCTGAAAGTAAATCAACGTTGAGCAATACGTTGCGAGGAAGATTCAAGAAATATCGGGTGAAGCCTATCTATCTGTTCCTATTCAGTGATCTCTTGGTCATTACGAAAAAGAAAAGGTAATTCCTAGCACGCTTCAGTCACATGTGAGAAGAGTACTCTTAGTTTGAGGCCTATGCTCTGGAGTAAGATGATGCGAGTTTAGGCGATTTAAGCAAAAACTGCCACATTTAGACTCTGCATGTTCTTACGTTGACCATTGAGTGGCCAAATATTGCGTCTAATCCAGCCTAGACTTAGGCCTTCTATTTTTATTTATATATTTTTAATATTCAGCGCTTTTTCACATGAAAAGACTGGGACTAGATGATTTGGGGGCGGGGCGGAGGAAGGACTTGCTCCCTCCGCCCCGCCCCCAAATCACCTAGTCCCAGTCTTTTCATGTGAAAAAGCGCTGAATATTAAAAATATATAAATAAGACTAGAAGGCCTAAGTCTAGGCTGCGTCTAATCCACTATTCCACTATCCAGGTTGCACCACTTTTGATTGCGAAACACCGAAATTATTTTACATGAATTTATTAGTAAATTAGCAGCAATATAGACCTATGAGGGATAGTTCTAACTGGACCTCGTGGGAGGATAGTTTAAAACTGATAAACAAATAAAAACAAAACAAGATAAGTTTAATATTTCTGAAGTACAAATTCTTCATCAATGTGTTTTTAGTGAAACAATGTACAGTGTGATTGACTACGCCAAACGAAACATGATCAGAATACAGGAGACGAACTCGAAAGCGACGAACGCCTTTCTTTTGGTTTTCCTCGAAAATTTTGAGAAGAAAACAAAGGAATTGAGCGTAAGAGCTGACAATGAGTAAGTTACTTTTTGAATACTTTATGCATAGCAGAATACTTAGCTGTAGACTGCTCAATTAGATGAATGATTATTAAAATCAACTTCAGCCATCGTACACACCTAGGCTCGATTCCAGATTGTACACCACGGTCAAGTTAAGGTTGTGTCTTCCACTTGGGAATTGATTCCTGCCATATCTACAATTGTCTAAGGCCCCAGTTACACGATACCGGATTCGCATCGGAGCGACATCAAATTTTACTGCTTCGAGGTGAATTTGGCACTTAAAATTATGATAACATAACATAATTAAACAAAAAGTTCAAATATGAAAAGTTGTAAGAGCAGACAAGACTGGAAAACACCTTAAATTGATGTCGCTCCGATACGAATCCGGTATCGTGTAACTTGGGCCTAATATTTCACCACAGTATGTTGCACCTGATAATTCAATAAAGAATGGTCGTTACTGGACTCGTAGTGTTATCCAGTATGGATGAAGACATGAAGTTAGTTAAATACTGTATTAATCTCGTACTCTAGGACGGATTTGACACGTTGGAGAGAAGCATTTAAACCACCATCAGCCTCAACAGATGACGAGAAGATATACGGAACATGGGGTCAGTTAATAAACTAGAAAATGATATAGTTATTTGGTCATATTTCTGGTGAATGACTGAATATTTCACTGACTCATTTCTTTGTAGTTTGGTTATGAATTTCTGTTTTATCAATGAACTAATTTCCCATCTAGATTGCCCACAAGTGCATGCTCTACATGACTATCAAGCTCAACAATCCGATGAACTCAGTCTAGTTCCTGGTGATGTTGTTAATGTTCTAAGAAAACTACCCGATGGTAAGAATGCTTTTCCTTGCAATGAAAAGTCACCTCAGAAATTCTACATATAGGTGCAAATTTTTATTGAAGTTCGTTGCCATACATGCATGAGTCATACCCAGCAATTTGTACAATGTACAGTATCTTCAACTGTAAAGTTTAAGGCTTATTTATCCGCCCTTTTAGGAACGGACTTTGTGGAGTCGTCCTTAGATACCATCATGAAAGATCTGTTTTATACTAATTTTGACACTCTTATAATAAGAACAACGTAAATTCCTTGTACCGAATATGTCGATGTCGAATGAACGCTTGAGGAAAGGTTGAGAGGAATAATTATTCTACTTGAGAAAAGGATTTAACAATTTTTCTTTACCTACTAGGTTGGTATGAAGGTGAACGTATCCGTGATGGTGTATGCGGCTGGTTTCCAGCCAATCACACAGAGGAAATCCGCAACGAACATGTTCGCGCCAGAAACCTACATCAGAGATACAGACTGTTGGCTGCATCTACTGCTTTTCTGGACACCAAAAAGAGGTGACGTCATCCAAAATTGGGCGCATAGCCCAGTTACGCGGCCAGTGAGAATATCTGGTGAATCCGTGCATATAGTCAATGATCAAAATATGACAAACTCGGCAAACTTCATAGTGTCTATAATGAGAGGTATGATTTTATGATTAACCTTCACCATGCATAAAACGGCAAATTCCGGTCTGATGGGAGAAAGCCTTCGCATGGAAAATTTTATCCCACTTGACTGAGATCCCATCTGGTCTTATATGTAATTATATGAACAGGGCCTTAATAGACCCATTGCACTGACGTCACAAATCCTTAGAGTGTCCTCCAGATGCTCCCTAACAATACTGTATATCTGTTCGGGTACAAGAACCACATACAGCGCAAAAATTAACCATTTTAATACAAAATTATTATAAACTTTTACAAAATTTGCTTTGTTTACAAAAGTTATATTATGCATAGATTGCTAATTTGTCCTCCGGATGCAACGTCACCGGCGCTGTGACGTCATGTGCAATGGGTCTATTCTTCATGCAAGAAATCCTTGTTTTCACGTGTACAACTTTGCACGACATAAACAAATAGAAAAACACCTTGAGACATGAGAGATTTGATTGTGTGAATAAATGTGGTTGTGGCTATTGATTTATTAATATACGTTGTTAATATATAAATACGATGATTTTGTGATCCCATAGCTTATACTTGTAATTTTGTATAATTCGTGCCGCTATAAGGGGCGCAATCTACGAATTTTTAAATCTAGTTTTATAATTGAATATTTAATATATTTTTGATGTAATTATTTTAATTTTTAGCAACTTTGTATGATTATATATATGTAAGATAGAAATGAAAAGTAAATGATTAACTTTAAAGTTTCACAATTAACTTATATACTCGTTACGTACTTGCTTCGCGGCTTGTGAGATTATACCGTATCAGTAAATTGGATCGGTGTATTTTCGGGCAGAACACGAATATATGAATATGCACCCCAGTTATCGGTCCAGCTACGGCCCTGCAGACGTTCCATTCTTTTCGGATATCTTTCTGTTATGAATCTTGGAGCATATATACCATGCAGATCTAAGGGCCTGTTCATATGGGGAAAGTTATTCCGGTTAGCGAGAAAACTTTTCGGCAAGTTTACAAGCGAGATCTCGCCAATATGAAAAGTTACACTGCGTTCATATGAGACCAAACGTTTTCCCGTGTACGTACCGAGATCTCGCTTGTTGACAGGCGAGATCTCGGTGACCGGGATAATGTTTTTCCCATATGAACACAACTTTCCCGCTTAGCGGGATAACTTTGTGTCGTGTCAGCAACTTTTCAATTCAATTGATGTTCAGTGCTACATCACAGCCGGAAACTTTACCCGGTAAGCGGGATAACGTCCCTCCATGTATGAACGGACAAAAGTATTTGGCTAGTCGAAAAGTTTTCTCGCTAACTGGGATAACTTTTGCCCATATGAACAGGCTCTCATATGAACGCAGTGTATAACTTTTCATATTATTTTCATAACAAAGCGAGATCTCGCTTGTAAACTTGTCGAAATGTTTTCTCGCTATATAGCTAACCGAGATAACTTTTGCCCATATGAACAGGCTCTATATAAATGGCAGCTTCTGTTAAATGTTTTTCCGCCTTTGACTTCATTATACAGGGTGTCCCAAAAAATCCGAAAACTATTGAAATCACCAATAACAATTTAATTGTTAGAATTTGAATGCCTTGGCGCTCTGTTGGTTTCCACGAGTGCATAAATGATTGACATAAGTAAATTTAATGCATAAAGAACTGTTTAAGAAGCTGTTTTTAATTCCCAGGAGCAGAAAATCGCGCACTTTACCAGGAGATATTCCTAACTAAATTGTAATACATGCACCTTGTCAATATTTTACGCATCGTAATGTCCAGCTGTTTGGTAGGGCATTCAAATTTAACAATAAGTGATTTCAATAGTTTTCGTTTTTTTGGGGACACCCTGTACAAAAGGTCTATTGGGATTGCATGGCAAATAGAACCTGTAAATGCACGGTTTGCTTATCACAGTACAATAGGCCCTTTGCAGGAATGCAAACAATAAGTTAGAACAATGAGCGACTGAGACGCATGGAAAACAGTGAGATTTCCAAAATAATAGATACAATGAAAGCAGTCTGCCCAGTGCCCGCTCTGGATTCTCAGTGCTGTTGTTCTGATAATACCTGCAAGAAGGCTAAATGAAATTTCAAGCCTTGTGCGTAAAGAAGCATGATTATTCCAACATGGTAGAAGGTTTGGAAGGTTTAACAACACTTCAAACAACGAAGGCCCTTTCGGAAAAGGGGGTAAGTTTTTACAGAAATTAAAGGAATAAAGCTCTGGTCAAACAAGGGTGAGAGTTGATGAGAGTTGAGAAGCGAGAGTTTGCATGAGAGTTTTCTTAACTCTCGTGCCCCAGTCAAACGAGAACAAGACAATGCCAGCATTAAAATAAGCGTGTTTTTGACACACTTTGTGTCCTTGTAAAAGGGAAATGTGTCCTTGTAAATTGAAAAGTGTGTACTTGGGACAGTGTATACTTTGTCTTGGGAATAAAGCCCAGAAAATCCTTTCCCAGTCATTTCCCACAGCAATATTGTTGTAATCGTGTGTTTATTGCCTGATGATAGCCAGATATATATTTCTGGTTTATATATTTCTGTTTTTTCTGTTTATAACATGTCAAGAAACGCCTGTAAAATTACCAACGGCTTCACGTTTTTCCTATAGGCGCGGTTCCATGATAATGGCAATATCCGCAGAAATCATTTTACAACAAGAAAATATTTCTTTAAAAAAGAAATAATGTTTCGTTCCAATATAATTATAGAAATACCAGACGTCTGTAATTAGCGGTTGTGACCATAGATCACTTGTATATGTCGAGCAATGAAATTGGTTCATTTTGTGAGGCGGGCGGGTTCTATAAATTTTCATTACCTGGAGGGGCCGAGCGGTCCAGAAATACAGTAGTAGTATTTAAAATGAAGAAAAACAAAGAAAACTATATAATAATATATATATATACCGCTGTTGGCGCTTGAGTACTTCAAATATAAATCATCGTGCCTGTAGATTTCGACCTGAAGTTCAGGCCCTAAGATTGTGATTGGTTGCAAGTTCACATAAACAACAGTTTTAAAAATAGCTCGGTCAAGGGCTCAAGGGGACAATAATAATATAAAGGTCAAACGCACGTAACAAATCCATTATCGATTTCTTCGAATTTCGTTTCTTTTAATATGCTTTATGGCAGGAAATAAATCAAACAAATAGTATTTTGAAGGTCTTTATCAAAATCTTTGACGAATTTTGGACACACGACGCTGAAAGAACAGCCAAACTATTGAACTAAACTAGTCATCTATTCGAAAGTTTGTTGTTGACAGCCAAGATGTTCTGCCAACTGGCTTCGCCGGCAAAAGTCTTATTTTTAATATCAGGTCCTACCGGCGTTGTTTTCTGAGCTACATGACCTTCTTCGTGGTACGATTGAGAATTTTATTGTTGCTGTTGTTAGCCCGTTAAAGTATACCCCTGGTATATATCCGCGTCCAGCAAGTTGAGACCTTGAGAAAGCTTGGCAGTCAAGCTGTACACAGAACTGACTACTTGAATCTTCGTTTGCTGTTCGGTTAAATAGAGAAACTGACTCTTAATTATATAAAAGTACCTTGAATTTTTAAGTTTAATTAAAAAGCGAAATGCACACTCTGCGGACATGTTCATGAGAATATAAATTTTTTGTGTAACGAAATCTATAACACTTGTCAATCATATTGCATGCTGTGTCTAAAAATAACATGTGAGCGTCCCACGGTCTAGACAGGTTTTGTGTCAGGCCCTATTGAAAATTAGGGCCTGAACTTCAGGTTGAGTTAGCATGTTCTCATAGGTTGATATATAATTATACGCCACGCCTCCAAAAAACTTCTTATGCTAGGAGCGGTCATCTTATTGGACGATTCTAAATGTAATTGACGTTTGAGCAAGAATACTGGCATATGATTGGATAACTTTGATCTCTGACGTCACTTTCCTGTGATAATTGCTCGAAACCAAATACAGTACCGTTTCGTTCCTGCGGGGAACGAAACAAAAATGTTCATAGTATGTTGTACCGTCGCTTGCACCTAACGATGAACAGTCGCTCATAAAAACATTCGCGTGATTAGAATCTCCAATGTTTGTCAAGAACAACAACACTTAATTGTTGTTTCCCATGTGTACAATAATAAGTAAAAAAAACTTTGTGTGGTCTGAACGTGTTGGGCCAGAGACCTACTGGAAACCTTTACATGCTTTTTAACGAGAATAGAGAATGTTTTATCTGCAACTGTTCACCTTTAGTTGCAACCGACGGTATTTGGAAGCATAAAATTGCCTGTGGCTGTGATAACTGATATAAATAAAATACAGTCTGGTTATACTGACTTGAGCGTGTCATGAAAAACTATTTATTGGAAAATTGTGAACAAATAGTCGAATATAGAGAGTCGAATATCATATTTCGACTTGTATAGCTACAGTATCATTGGTACATAGCGTTGTGAAGACAAGCCTTTGCTTACCTTTCGCTTCAGCAGTCATTTTTTTCCATGCTTCTCTACGCTTTCCCAGGCAAGCTTCTCTTTCCTCAGCAGTCTCCTCGAGCAAACGTTGTCGTCTTCGCTCCCTCCTTTTCGCTAGACGTTTGGCTTTATTGTCATTCCTTGCCTCTCTTCATTTGGCTCCATATCTTTTCAATTGGTATTTGATACCGTAATTGTTTTATTAAACTTTTTATAGAACAAATTGCTTTGAAAGCTGTCAAAGTTTTTTGCAAACGTACAAAATACTGTAGTGTAAAAAGCAAATTATTTTCATGAAGTATCTGTCAGTTGAAGTCGTCATTTGTCATGCAACAACAAATTTTAAATTTGACCAATCAGTGTTCGCTATCCATGACAGTCCGCCATATTTTTGGGATCAGTGAGGATGACCACCCACTTAAGGTTCGTTGGTCACGCCCACGATATTTGATAAACTTTAGACTTGGCTAATGCTTTCGTTTCCCCGGGTGTAAATAGCCGGGGGGATTAGTACCCTCGCACGGCGCTTCGCGCCGCCGGCTCGGGGATTATCAATTTCCCAACATATATATGTTATAGGTATAATATTATACGTAATATAAGCCTGAACTTAAGGTAAAATTCAACCACAAACGCTTCGCAAAACGTTTTAAAGTGTTCTTTATAAAACTAAACTGCCTTTAATTAAATGGCTTTATCGATAAACTTTGAGTTTGCAATAAAATAATTTCAAATTCTCGCGGCATGCAAATAGCTTTCCTTTCTTTTTATTTAAAAAATTCAATATAATAAAAAAGGGAATCAATAATCAATATTAAAGATACACTGAAATGATATGCTGTCTTGTTTAGTTGTTTCATATACGCAAAGGCCGTCTGGTTTTAAAGCAATTATAAAATCAATATTTAAAACAAAGTTACCTTCGTTAACGTCGGCTCCCTTCTTTTAGCCAATTCTTTCGCCCTTTCTTTCTTGAAATTTACAAAATCTTGCAAAAATTCGAGCAAAAATGAAATATATTTGCAAGAAATTTATCAATCATCAAATCAAGAAATGTTTGCTATTTCGCTGTCGTCATGCAGTCGTCATAATGCAAACTTTAAATTGGACCAATGACAGTATTCGCTATTCATGACAGTCCGCCATATTTTTGAGATCAGTGAGGATAACCACCCACGCACAGTGATCCACGCCCGCGATATTTGATGAACTTTAGACTTCGCTAATGCTTTCGTTTCCCCGGGTGTAAATAGCCGGGGGCAATTAGTACCCTCGCACGGCGCTTGGCGCCGTCGGCTCGGGGATTATTGATCTGGCTGGAGTTCGCATTTCCTTCTGTATACCTATCTATCTATTTATCTATCTATCTATCTATATATATATATATATATGTATATATATATATATATATATATATATATATATATATATATATATATATATATATATATATATATATATATATATATATATATTAAGATGAAAATGTTCTAGAGTGTGTATATAATTTCCATACCCAGCGCAAGCAGAAAGATGTTGTCTGCCGCGGCTGGGTCTCAAACCCGCGACCTTCGAATTACTAGATCGACGCTCTACCTACTGAGCTACACGGTCAGACAGATTTTTAAGACTGGAAATTATGAAATATATACTGAATACAATTTGCAATTGCACCACTAAATCGGCATTATCCATAGTACATCCATACTATTTCGATACTATATCCATAGCATGGAAATATACAATTATTAAGGATAATCAAGAATCCATTCTATTTCCAATAAAGGTCCATACAATTTTCATTCTGTGGATCTTGAAATTTTTCCAGTGACATTGTGAATTTTTCACATTTTAGAGGCTCTAGTCGTGTCTCAGATCATAATTTGAAACAAACCTTTTAACAAACCTTTAAACTCCTTCTAACAGTGCGAACAATGATCTTTCCTCGCCAATTTTCCATCAAATATAATGGCAATATAATTAAGCTTGAAGAGTTTTAGATTCAGTGGAATGTGGATTCTATTACAGAATAGTCCGGTAGTAAAAACTATAGTGTCAGTTAAACCATAATGATAAACCAAAATATTTTTCATCAGTATTTAAGCTTTTGCCCGAATTTTCATTCGTGAATATCAAGGCGACAGTGCAGTGACAGTACTTCTTCAAATTAATTTACCTTAAATTACTTTAAAGTAACTTAACTCGTAAACGGCAACGGTGACCCAAAATCATATTTTAAAAAATGATTTCTTTTAATATAAACAATTATTTTAACAATTGAAAAATATTGTGTTGAGCAAAAAAATTTATTGTGAATAATCACCTTTACGTAATTTTAAAAATTTTGGCTCCACAGATTTTTTTATCTTGTCAAAATAATTGATTATACTAAGAGAAATCATTTTTAAAAATAAAATTTGGGGTCACTAGCCTGAAAAGAGACCTACGTTTCGCCGGCTCTTAAATTCACGGGTCGAAGAAGGGCGAAACGTAATCGCATTTATATAATGTGTTGAAAATGTTGTATTATTACTAGCTGTAACTGTTCATAAAAGCAACAGGCTGCATGGGCCGGGTTACCAATACTTTAAATATTTATTCTAATATCTGTACTTATCGACTCTTACTTTGTTTACAAACTTTCAATAAAGTGAATTTACAACTTTCATTGTATTATTAAAGTGGGAGGAAGGCATTTTTGACAAAATTTTCATCAGACCTACGTTTGGCCCTTCGTTGACCCGCGAATTTTAGGGCTGGCGAAACGTAGGTCTGTTTTCACGCTAGGGTTTATCGATGTCGTTTACGAGTTTACGAGCCCAAAAGGACCCAGAGGCCCAGAACTACACTGATGAGGCCCAAAAGGCCGAAACGCAATATATTTATATATTATATATATATATATATATATATATATATATATATATATATATATATATATATATATATATATATATATATATATATATATATATATATATATAGTTTTTCGTTTTACCTCAAAAAACCACAACAGTCTGTTTCATCCGTATAGGAATCATCCGTATAGGAATCCACCACCTGATGATTCCTATACGGATGAAACAGACTGTTGTGGTTTTTTGAGGTAAAACGAAAAACTATATTACGCTCTATCTATATGGTATTGAGCACTGTTTCTGTTTCGTAAACCAAAATCTTTGGTACCTATATATATATATATATATATATATATATATATATATATATATATATATATATATATATATATATATATATATATATATATATATATATAATATA